GTGTGTGTGTGTGTAGGTGTGAGTGAGTGTATGTGTATGTGTGAGTGAGTGAGTGTGTGTGTGTGTGTAAATTTTAATGTTAATGTAAATGTATATGTAAATGTGAATGTAAATGTAAATGTAAATGTAAAAGTAAATGTAAATGTATATGTAAATATAAATGGAAATGTAAATGTGAATGTAAATGTAAATGTAAAAGTTAATGTTAATGGAAAAGTAAATGTTAATGTTAAAGTAAAAGTAAATGTAAATTTAAATGTGAATGTAAATGTAAATGTAAATGTGAGTGTGATTGTGAATGTAAAAATGTGAATGTAAATGTAAATGTAAATGTAAATGTAAATGTAAATGTAAATGTAAATGTAAATGTAAATGTAAATGTAAATGTAAATGTAAATGTAAATGTAAATGTAAATGTAAATGTAAATGTAAATGTAAATGTAAATGTAAATGTAAATGTAAATGTAAATGTAAATGTAAATGTATATATGTGTATTCGATAGAATTGTAGACGCTCACATGACATGATCCATCTACGTTGAACAGAACAACCAAATGGAGTGACTCTAGATGACATCAAGAACTTCTACTACAACTTCCTGCGCAACGACAATTTGGGTAAGCTTCCGCAATCCATCCGCTCACTTCGATACCATCCACACACATCAAGTATAGTGTGTCCCTTCTCCGCGTGCTCAGTGTGTTACCATAGCAACACCATGACAAGCATACCTACCCCTGTATGTTCCCTCTACAGGTCGAATTGCCAATGCACACAAAGTGTGGGCAGACGTCCAAGACGATGGTGCGGCGTGTGCGGAGTGTTTGGAGTTGTCTGAGCTCCATTCACTCGCAGTCGACTTCAACAAGTCAGGAGTGCCTGCTATAGTCCGAAAGGTAAAACCCTAGAACCCTAGTCACAACGGTGTGTGTGCTGTAGGCAGAAAGGTAAAGCCCTAGAACCCAAGTCACAACGGTGTGTGTGCTATAGTCACATATGTGTGTGTACTACAGTTGCAAAAGTTTATGTGTTATAGTCAGATAGGTTTGTATGTTATAAACAGACAGGTGTGTATGTTATAGTCAGAAAGGTTTGTATGTTATAGTCAGAAAGGTTTGTATGTTTTAGTCAGAAAGGCGTGTATGTTATAGTCAGAATGGTGTGTATATTATAGTCAGAAAGGTTTGTATGTTATAGTCAGAAAGGTGTGTATGTTATAGTCAGAAAGGTGTGTATGTTATAGTCACAAAGGTTTGTATGGTATAGTCAGAAAGGTTTTTGTGGTATTTGCTATACACCTAGATAGAATGTGATAGTGTATTTGGGCATGTGAGTATGTGTCCATAGAATATGATTCGTTTATTTGTGCATATGTGCATAAGTGTAGTCACAGATTGTTCTCTGCTATCTGCTATCGAGTCACCAATCGCGATCAGCACTACTTGTGCGTGAGTGTAGACGTACACTCTCGAGTATCAGTGCTTTCTAGTGGCTCGAGTGTATATTTGCAGTACAGGTATTCATTTGTACTACTCAGGTGTACATTTATATTACCCAAGTTTAAGGCGTCCATTTACAAAAACCAAGTTTAAGGTGTACATTTATAACACTCAAGTTTAAGGTGTACATCTATAAAACCCAAGTTTTTAAGTAATTTTTATAATACCCAAGTTTAAGGTGTACATTTATATTAACCAAGTTTTAAGTACTATTACTAATACCCCAGTTTACGATGCACATTTGCACTACTCTAGTGTCCATTTTTTTCATACTCGGGTTCACATTTGTACTACTCTAGTGCCCATTTTTCATACTCAGGTGCACATTTGTACCCCTCTGGTGTCCATTTTTCATACTCAGGTGCACATTTGTACTACTGACTCGCTCACAGGAATTGCTGCAGCTCAAAGCATACCCGCACTTCATGGAGAAGGGAAACAAGAACGAGTACAAAAGCCGCAAGGTCTTGGGCCGAATTTACGACAGAGTTTGCGACATGCGCCATCCCCGAGTGAAGGACATGTCTGTGACGGTGTATCCAGGTACGTAGTAGCCAGCCTTTGCGTCGCCTCTCTCACTCTTCGTATGCGCTTTCTAGCCACACACCGTCTGTGTTCATTTCTGTTGTGTTTAATTGAGTCAGTTGAGTTTAGTCTCATTCTTCTAATGCCCTTTGTAGCCACACACCGTCTGTGTTCATTTCTGTTGCGTTTAATTCAGTCAGTTGAGTTTAGTCTCACTCTGCTATTGCACTTTGTAGCCACACTCCGTCTGTGTTCATTTCTGTTGTGTTTAATTCAGTCAGTTGAGTTTAGTCTCATTCTGCTACTGCCCTTTGCGCACTGTCTGTGTTCGTTTCTGTTGTGTTTAATTCGGTCAGTTGGGTTTAGTCTCATTCTGCTAATGCCCTTTGTAGCCAAACACCGTCTGTGTCCATTTCTGTTGTGTTTAATTCAGTCAGTTGAGTTTACGTGTATATCGAGAATAGGTTTGTGAGTGCTATCGACGTTCCAGGCGCTTCAATGGTTGCTAGTTTGTAATTTCATAGCAGCACCAGCACGGTGCGAATGTTTATAGTTGAGTGATAGTGTGATCATTTATATGTCACTAGTGCGATCATTTTGCTCAGATAGGCAGTTAGTCCGTTCCTCTTTGTCGATGTCTACGGTATTCACATCCGTTTGCGCTGACTGTGGTGTGCGTTACTTGCCAACTTAACGTTTATTCTATTTGCCAACCTAACGTTTAGTTCGCCTACAACCAATTCATGAACATCAAATCATGCGCTCGGCAGATCCAGACCTACTGATTCCGCACAGAGACGACTTCAAGGTACACCTGGCTTACACTCTTGCCAGTCTTACTGTCTGAGATCATATCAATGGAAGTGTATGTGTGTGCATGCCTCTGTGTGTGTGTGTGTATGCATGTGTGTGTATGTGTGTGTGTGTGTGTGTGTGTGTGTGTGTGTGTGTGTGTGTGTGTGTGTGTGTGTGTGTGTGTGTGTGTGTG